AACACCCACCTTAACATCAACCATCCCCTTAACTACCATGAGTAATATTTCCTGACTGAGGTCCAGGCAGACCCCCATTAATGTCTTCCCGCCCTCAGTTCCCCTCAGGCTGCAGGCTTCCTGATTTACCCTCCCAGCGGCTGGAATGCATGCCCCTGGAAGATCACAGCTTCCTCTTCCCTGGGCCTGAGGGTGACCTAGCAACCCCTGCCAGCCTAGGGGAGGACATCAGAGAAATCGGGACAGGACAACACTGGGGGGCGACACCCACAGGGTCGGGGTTACATTCCTCAGTCCTCACATCACTTTGTCCCTAGCCAGAATGGGAGGAATGGGCTTCCACCCATGCAGGGAGGGCAGGAAGGGCAAGTAAGAAATCTAGCCAGCACCCCAGCGCCCTAGCTAGAGTCACTCAGAATAAATCAGAGAACTCCCTCCAGGCCTGCTCTGACTAGCAGCCATGGTCAGCGCCATGTAAATGACTCCGGTGGAACTAAATGGAACTTTCTGCTGAGGTGTGTTGGTGATGGCCACAGCCTCTGTCCAGGAAACCTTCAGGACTCTGTCTCAGAACTCCAGCTCCATCCACAGAAACCTCCACAAGACTGGCACCCAGACTGCTGCCCCGATTCCACGAGGAGGGTACAGTGGACTGGTCTCTGAAAGCTCCAGGGAACTGAGGGGCCTATCTGGGCCTCACAGCCCAGCGGTGACTGGTGTCATCACCAACACCTCTTAGGCCCAGGTCCTGTTGCCATTAGGAGGGGTGGGAGAAATGGAAAATTGGCCAGGTGGGGTTCCAGGTCCCCCTTCCCAGGATGGAGGTAGTTTCCTGTTTTTCTCTCTTTAGGCTTCCTCCCTTCCCAGAGGAAGAAGTGAACTGCCCTATTCTAGGGGTGTCTCTCTAAACATGCCCCTCTCCACCCTGGCCCTCCATGAACTCTCATGAGCAGCAGCCAGTTGGCTGAGGCTATGGAAACGGATGGCCAGGAGACAGAGGCAGCTCCCAATTGATCCTGCGCCAACAAGGCATGGCTGCCATACAGTGCCGACAAGGGTGGGCCCTCCAGCCAGGCCACAGGCCTGCTCGGGCCAGAAGGGGAGGAGGATAGCGAGGGGTATTGGTCAGGAATGTCCTGTGAGGCCTGTGCTTATCCTAGGGAGATGGGGAATCTAAGGCATGAAGTTAAGTGGCTAGGAGGCGCCAGGTTAGTCGTTAGGTGACTTCAGCCTCAGGAAATTAGAGTTGAGTATCTTAGACTTCATGCCCAGCTTGAGATTCAGAGCTCACGCATGTTGTGTAGCTGTTTCCTCAAGCATGACAATGCTATCTTGAACCGGAGCAACTGTGACCACCGGGTCACTCATGAGATCAAGTCATTAACGTTCCCTTATGGGTGGTGCAAGGAGAGGCTCTTGGGGCTCACAGGATTTTCAAGAGCTCCTCACTTGGTCCACCCCTTCCCAAAGTTATACAGGAGCTGGAAGGCTCCTGGGGGGTTCAAGGAGGAGACTCTTCAATAGCATAGCTACTTGCAAGTCATCTGGGGGATTCTCCGGTGGGGCAGCTTTTTCATGAGCCATCCACATTGCTTGTAGGATTCTCCAGTGTAAATGTCCATGAATTGCCCAGGTGACTTCCTATGGAGTTACCCATGTTCCTAAAATGGCCCTAATAAACTCACTGTTTCACCAAGCTGGACCTGCAGACCCCATTCTCTAGTTGGTTGCTACTCTCTCTAAGGTCACACACGCGATTGTGGTGATATCCACGTTGTCAAGGAGCTGATCTTAGAGGTGGGATTGGTGGATGGTACGGAGGTCAGGACTTAACCAGCACAGTTCCAGGGACAGCCAGGGACACTCTATGAGGGTGGAACAACAATACCTAAGTCACTGCTGTCAAGGGTCTCTCCTTCCATGGACATAGAACATTCAGCTGGGCAAGTACAAGTACCTCTTGATATGGGAAAAATCATATGCTGACATCTTAAACTCCATGAACTCAGAATGTGTTTGCATTTGGAGAAATGGCCTCAAAAATTATTAAGGGCCAGGCAGTAGTGGCCTTTAATCTCAACACTTGGGAAGCAGAGGCAGGTGGATCTCTATGAGGTCTAGCACAGTTAAGGCTATACAAAGAAACCCTGTTTTGAAAAGAAAAAAAAAACATTATTAAGGAACTGGGTGTGGTGGTGTACACTGGGAAACTAAGGCAGGAGGCTCAAGAGTTTGAGGGTAGCCTGAGCTACAGTAAAACTCTGGCTCAAAAAGTTTCATCCACCAAAGATGTGCGTGAGGTAAATGAGGTTATGCGGGTGGCCCTAAACCAGCCACTGTGGGGATACAGTGGGAAGATGATGTCTATAAGCCAAGAAGAGGGGCCTCAGGAGCAGCCATTCCTACAGCAACTCTGGTCCTCAGCTTGCAGCACCCATGTCTGTGGGAGACCACAATTCTATACACAAGGCACCCATTGTGGAGCAATCATAAAGGGAGGTGGAGCAAACCGACCCACTTACAAAATAGAGCTTGAATGTCTCTAGGCAGCGGCTCTTAGCCGGGAGTCTCCGGAGAAACAGACTACACAGGTGCTATGGTTACCTTCTGCATACTGGGTTCCCTATCTAGCTGAGTAAACTGAGGTTCCCCCAAGCAGAAGCTAGGCTACCTCCAGATCCTCCACAGTGGGAACTCTATGTGTCCACTAGGCTCATGGGAGTCTTTAAATGTGACAGAGCCTATTTCTTGGCTTGAGTGCGCTTAAGCCAGGGAACTGGGGCTCCAGAAATTCTATGGCCACCTAAGTCATTCTGAGCTAGTAACTCCTAGGTTCATTGTCTCAAAACTGATCACAATAAACAAGTAAATAAATAATCTCGAGGACAGCAGAAGGACAACCAAAGCCTTATTGAAGTAGAGAAATGGCTCCCTACAAGAAAGGGAACTCAGAAGGGAGTTTCCAGTTGACCTGGACTTGGCGGGGCCATTCCTCATGCCTACTGCTTGAGTCTGCTTGGCTAGGGCCTCCATGTAAACCAGGGGCTGGATTGAGAGGTTTCTGTCTAGCTGAATTGGATAAATGTGGGAACTTTGTTTAGGTGGGAGATAAGGCAGACACGTGAGGCCTCGGGAAAAGCCTACCAGGAGGATTTGAGGGAAGGAAGAACAGGAAGTGAGGAGAGGAAGAGCCTGTGGTCAACCATCTTTGAAAACAGGTCCCAGGCTACACTTCACAGGGAAGGAACTTGGTTACAGAGTCACTATGCTCACAAGGCCAGTCCAGTATCATGGGAAGAAGGGCTTTGGAGCTAAATTTTCAACTTTTAATTAATTTCAATTGAGTTTTGTGTGTGTGTGTGTGTGTGTTTTATGGATTCAGCTTTCACATTCACTGTCCCCGCAGCCTTGGTACACCTCTCTTTGGGAACCTCACATAGAGCTCACTGAGAAACTGGCTTTGCCTGTCTGTAAAGGTTTTTCTTCTCAGGGGCCTCTTTCCTCTGTCTAAAAAGGAAACTGCCTAACTCTGTCTCTCTCACCAGGCTGGAGAACGGGGCCTAGACATCCGGCCAACTGTTAGGCTGTAATTTACAATTGTTCACATACTTAGTTGAAAAAGTGCAGAGAAGGGCCTGAATTCTCCAACACTAAAAAGCACTTAAAAACGATGACACTTCAGAGACAGACACACCAATAGCCTGCTCCGACCGTTACACGCTCTAGACGCCTACCCAGTTATCAGACGCTACAGTTACCAGTGTCAGTTAAGAGTGATTGAAAATGATGTCTTGGAGTGTGTCTGGGAGAGTTATCTCTGTGAGATAAATGGCATTTTAATCAGCAGACTGAGAAAAACCGGGTAGGGATTGTCCAGTCCGGTGAAGGTCTAACTAGAGCAGGGAGGAGGAGGGTTGAGAGCTGACTTGGTTAACAGGCATATTTAACTCTATGCTCCTCCCCCAGCATGGAGTCCCTGCCCCGACTCTATGATGACACCCCAACAGCACAGCCCCAAATTCACGATGGCTTTTGACAGGGATGCTTTCTCAGCAGAGATGCTATCAGCCGGACTCCACTGGACCCCACCAGACCCCGCTTGGAGACGCTGCTTTGGGTTGGATTTGCCTTCCTTCCTGAGGCTCCCACTCCCAGCATGGCCTGCGATTTCCTAGGGACGAAGCTCACTCAGCTTGAAGCAGAAGCTAACCTAGAGGTGAAGTTCAGCTGAAGCTCAGCCTAGACTAGTCAGAGTTTCCTGAAATAGGGTTCTCCTGGTTGCCAGGTGAGGACTAGTGGGGTTCACCTGAAGGCAGGGGTCACTGGGAGTGGGGCTCAGCTGGAGTAAGGGCTCTCTTGAGACTTGGGACCAGGTATGTGGGCTCCAGAAGGAAAGAGACTCAGCCTGCTCTGACTCCAGTCACGCTGCGGTGAGACTGGGGCTGAGCTGAGCTGGTCAGGGACTCCGGGAAGGGATGTGCAGCTGGGAAGTGCAGAGCTGTCCTGGCCCTCACAGGAGACAGCTGGAGTCTGCTCTGAGAGGGCTCCAAAGGCAACACCACCTTCCTGAGACCTACACTACACACCTCCAACACAAGATGGACTACCTCCGTGCCCGGAGCTGCAGGCCGACCTTCTTCCTGACTGTTCTTTGTTTCTGACATCTGTGTGCTCCAACAAGCCTCACACCCGACCCTGGCATGCTGCCTGGCGCCAAGTGGCACCATCATAGGTCTGATGACCTCCAGGGTTTGGGCTCCAGCTTTATTCCCAAGCTTGTCCCTGAGGAGGGGTCTTCTCTCCCAGCCTCCCTGCAGCTAAGCCGTCTCCCCACAATGAATTGCAGTGAATGCATTTCTGAATGCTCAGGCACAGACCCACCACATATGGTTGCACACACACTGGTGCACAGCGACCCGTGTGCAATGTGGGCTCAGACATATAAGCACACATACACGCTTGGATATAAACAAAAGTTAGTTTTATTTTACTTAGTTTGTTCCAGAAGTTGGCTTTAAAACAGGGAGAAGGGCACAAAAGATGGGTCTAGGCTCCCCAGAGCTCTAATTTTCCAGCATGGCCAAAAACACGGCTCTGGACCACAGCCTTATGGATCTAAGCTGCAAGGCATGACAGAATTTCCAGGATGTCCTAGAAACGGCCCATGCCTGGCTACCTCAGCTCAGGGAGAGGAGGCTGTACTCAGCCCAGGTCTCCTTCAGGTCTTAGCCGCCTCACACAGGGAGCCAAGAGCTGCAAGTAGACCCAAGGCTACCTGCTTGTCCTTGACCTGAGATTTCTCTCTGACTTCGCCAGGGCTGAGGGGGCTGTAGAGGAACCCACCTGTTGCTGCAGTGAGGATAAACACAGTCCCCAAAAGGTTCTTGCCAGTTACCTCTATTCTACGGGGAAGCTGCAGGAGAGCCTAAAAGAAAGCGCTGAGGGGCCCAGCGGAGGGGTCATCCTGTTTAATAGCCTGGAGGGGCAGTCAGTTACTGGGACACAGCTCGCCTCCCCCCACCCAGGGGACACAGACAAGTCCCTGGTGACTCCTCTCCACATCCTGCAGGGAGGTACCTGAGCCAGCACTTCTCAGGGGGCTTCAGCTTCCTCTTAAGACCCCTAAGGGGATCTGTCAGTGGCCACTGGTTGAGAACAAAGATTTCCATTGAACCCTTAGGCTAGGCCCTCCCTGAGCTCTCCCCAGTGCCCTCAGATCCACACAGTGGCCTTGCCATCCCTGCTGCCTGTACTGCCCTTCTCAGAGCCCGCCCTAGGCTTAGTGACCAGTTGTTCCTGAGCCCCGGGTCGGCCCTGCTCCCCAACGGTGCCCCCCGAAGTGGCACTACCGGTTCCGGAAGCTGGGCCACCCGCCCTGGGTGGCCCCCGAGAGGTTGCATTGAGCCCTGAACATGGAGGGCTGTCCCGATCTGCGGCCACCGCCGCCGCCGCCCCATCGCGCAGTGCCTGCAGGGCCAGATTAGCCAAATTCTGGTCATGCGCGCGCGCCCGCTCAGCCGCGCGCACCACCAGACTGTATTCGGGAGGGCAAGCCAGGCCTGCAGCCGCAGACGGGAAAGCGCAGGGAGGTGGGCGCGGCACCGGGCCAGGACCCGGTGCTGAGGTTCCCCGACGACCGCGTACAGCGTCCTGCGCACTGCCGAGGCCCAGGTGCGCCATCTCACAGAGGTTGAGCAGCAGGCATAGGCAGCTAACCACATACATGACCAGCAGGAAGACCGTCTTCTCGGTTGGCCGCGACACGAAGCAGTCCACCACGTGCGGGCAAGGCTGACGGCTGCAGGCAAAGAAGGGCGGCACCTCGAAGCCGTACAGCAGGTACTGGCCCACCAGAAAGGCCACCTCGAAGGCCGCCCTTACCACCAGCTGGGCCACGTACACGCGCATCAAGCCCTCCCTCTGGATGCGCCTTCGCCCATCGTGCTGCCCGGCCGGTCCGGGAGTGACCACCGTTTTGCTATCACCTCCACCCCCCTTGGCAGCCACATCCTCTGCGCGCTCCTCCTCCGCGTCTTCCCCCGGGCCCTCGTGCACCCCCGGCTCCTCGTCCTCCTCGTCCTCCAGCGCCAGCATGGGCTCCGCCTCACCCAGATCGGTGGCATCCGGCCAGCCAGGAGGCGGCGGTGGCAGCTGAGCCCGGGGCACGCGCCGATGACCGGGACGACGACGGAGGGCGCGTCTGCGCTCCTGCTCTGAGGCGCGCGCCAGGCGGTGGACTGCATAGCCCAGGTACATGACAGAAGGGGTGGAGATGACCACGATTTGGAAGACCCAGAAGCGCACATGTGACAGGGGCGCGAAGGCATCGTAGCAAACATTGTCACAGCCCGGCTGCCGCGTGTTGCAGGTGAACTTAGATTGCTCATCCGAATAGATGGACTCGCCACCCACAGCCGTTAGCACAATTCGGAAGACCACTAGCACAGTGAGCCACACTTTGCCCACGAAGGTGGAATGATTGTGGATCTCCTCCAGCAGCCGCGTCAGGAAGCTCCAGCTCATGTTGGTCATGGGAGCGAGCAGGTGGGACCTACAGGCATGTATGATTGGTGGTCAGCAGGGGGCAACTGGGAACTGCGGGATGGGGCAGCAGAGTTGTGCTGGCAGGCTCGCCCAACAATTGGGTTCTACTTATACACCTCAGATGATCTTGAGCTCACTGCTTTGCAGAAAAGTTCTTCCTCATCTGCATCCTCACCTTAGGATGCTAAGGATGGGGACAGAGCATCTCCCACTGACAACTGCTCCAGCCCTTCCTGTCTTCTCTTTCCCAAAGCTCCCGAAGAAAGTACCAACTTGTGGGATGTGCACCTCTGTCCCAGGACCCTGGAGCCATAGAACCTGTGTGCTGCCTTTATTGGCAGAGGGGGAAAACAGGGCAGTGCCAGCCCAGCTCAGCCCCAGATTGGAAGCCACTCTCTTAGGGTTTACCTGAAGCCTGCTAGCCACTCAGACCTTCTCAACCTCTGCTACTCCCCAGCTCTTGTGGTCAGAACAGCCCCCCATAGTCCTGAGGCTCTATCATCCCCCAGCCCCAAACGCCTAAACCATACACATCTTTTGGGCCCCAGCCCTCCCCAATAATTTAGCTTCCAACCATCCATCAGCCTCAACCTTTCTCCTTCCACAATCTGCAAGCAGTTCTCGAAGTCCCTTCCATAAAGGACTCTCATCCTCTCCAAGCCCCCTGCTAGTCCTGCAGCACTTAGCCAGCCAGCTACCACACCCACTGCTCAGAGACCAGCCAGGGCTCTTTATCCAATCCCAGTCCTAAACCCCTGGACAGTCCCAGATCTGTCCAGGCAGGACCATGTCTGGTGAGGCTACAGATGATACACAGCCACACTTGGGCACCTGTGAGCCTCAGGGATGGCAGCATCCTGACCACCTCAGACTAGAACAGATATGTGACAGAGAAGGGCTCTGTGGTTCGCTGATGCCCACCCTCCCTCCTCACAGCTACCACAGAGTTAGTACCTGCTCCTGGGAAGCTTTGAGGCAGAAGTCCCCCAAGCATTCAGCACTGACACTCCAGACTAGGGCCTAGGAGGTAGCAGCAGCAGGCATGGACCACCATCAGGAGTGGCGGCTCCAGGCCTCTTTATGTAGCGAGGGCCTCTCCCCTCAGGGCAGGAAGAGGGGGCAGCCAGCAGGACACAGGGGTTCCTGAGGAAATGCCCCCACATCCTCACATCTGTGAATTCCTTCTTGGGACTACATGTATGCAGAGACACACCCTCATGTGCATACACGCATGCACACATGTCTATATGTATGTGTTATATATGCAAACATTCACATGCACACACAACATACAGTAACCCTCATTTGCACACAGGTGCACATTCATAGACATAGTGTATACCCATATGCATACACATGCATTTAGACACAAATGTATATACAATGATGTGTACACTCATGAATATGTGCACACACATGCAAAGAATCAAGACAGAAGAGCTCAAGCACATATGACACATGCACACTCCCATGTCAAGAACGAACACATCCACACAAACACATTCACAGGCCACTACACCTTCAGGGGCCACTCCTTCTACCTCTCTGCCTCAGACATGGACGCACAGTTGGGCTACCTGGTACCTACCTTCTCCGGCGTGAATTCAACTCTCTTACCTCAACTGCAATTTTAGCCCCTACTTGAAACCTCAATCATAGGAGCCTAAGGCAGGATCTGGAACCAGGAGTTCCCCAGTAGAGCTGCTTAGCAGTATGTGGTATTTAATAACAAATCTGTGGTAAAGCCTTGGTTGGCAACTTGCCATTTCTCTGGTATACCTACTCCTGTCATTGTAAGATGAGTACAGGCAACAACAAAGACACCGTAGTTTAGCCCTGGGCTGACTTTGGCCCTGGACAGACAGTGGGACTTTGCTTTGGAATGACCTATCACTTGGTGCATGCATACAAGCACAGCTATCACTCTCAGGCACAGCACTAAGTGCTATGGTTGAAGAGCTGACCTGGAAAAACCAGGACCTTGGGCTCAGGCCGGGGTGGGGTGGGGGGGACACCTTCCAAACTTGAACCTCTAGCCTGGAATTTTCCTGCCTAGCCCTGGCACTGGAACACAGCAGGCACCTCAAACTACAGAGGGTCAGACCCATATGTCAATCTCTCCTCCAATGTGACCTCTCCACCCTTGGATTACTTTATCTGAGTTGCTGTCTCCTGCACATCTTGGGTTTATCAGTAAACCCTGAACCACCCACACTTGCCACCTGCACCAAGGTGGTCACTGTCTCTCTAGTCCCAGCTGCTTCACTCTTCCTTATAAACCTGGTGGTCACTGTCTCTCTAGTCCCAGCTGCTTCACGCTTCCTTATAAACCTGGTGGTCACTGTCTCTCTAGTCCCAGCTGCTTCACTCTTCCTTATAAACCTGGCTCCATGCCCACTGAGTACCTTAAAATGCACACTGAACAGATTGTCCCTGCTGCCCTTCAATGGCTTTGGAGCCTGTGCTGAAACTCGCCCTGTAGAACAGGCTGGCCTGGAACTCACCGACATCCACCTGCCTCTGCCTCCCAAGTGCTGGGATTAAATGCATGCACAATGGCTTGCTATTTATTTATTTATTTATTTATTTATTTATTTATTTTTGGTTTTTCAAGACAGGGTTTCTCTGTAGTTTTGGAGCCTGTACTGGGACTCACTCTTGTAGACCAGGCTGGCCTCAAACTAGGGATTCACCTACCTCTGCCTCCCCACTGCTGGGATTAAAGGCGTGCTCCACCACCGCCCAGCCTAGATTTATTCATTATGTATACAGTGTTCTGCCTGCACGTGTGCCTGCAAGCCAGAAGAGGGCACCAGATCTCATTATGGATGGTTGTGAGCCACCATATAAGGTTGCTGGATGAACAGTCAGTGCTCTTAACTGCTGAGCCATCTCGCCAGCCCTCAATGGCTTTTTTTTTTAAAGACAAGGTTTCATGTGGCACAGACTCCTTATTCATTGACTTGTAAGAGTAAAGATGACCTTGAACTCTTCAGCCTCCTCTATCTGCCTACCACGTGTTGGGATTTTTAGGCATGTACAATGCTCAGCTCCTTCAGTAACTTCTGGCTAGGGCACATATCAGGGTCTCACTTAGTCACTGTGCCAAGTGCCCTGCCCTTTCCTCAGTTGGCTCCTGCTATACTCTCTAGTGCCCATACCTGTTGCCTTTCCCTGATTGTACAAACACAATCACCTGGCTATACAAGTTTTATACACACACACACACAAAGACACACACACATTTGCACCTATGCACACTCATTACTCCAGTCTGCCTATCAGAGGCTTCCCAGTCACTACAGGGGTTAATTTTCTGATATATATATGTGCTGGGGACTCCAGGATGCATCTGTGTTTAGCTTGGTGAAGGCGGGCTCTCATAGCAAATACTTAGATACACCATGAAAAGCTGTGGTGTGTGTACATGCTCTGGTTGGTCCTCTGAAGGGCCCTGACTGCAGAAACACCTGAGTAAAGCACTTTCTTAGATGGGTATGACCATGCTGCCTATAATCCTAGTACTTGGGAAGCATAGGTAGAAAGACCAGGATTTCAAGGTTACCCTCTGCTACATGGTGAGTTTGATGCCAGCCTAGAGACTACAATGAAACCCTTTCTCAAACCCCAGTCATAAAATAAAAATCCCTGGGGAAGTGGCTGATCAGATGGCTAGGTAAGGGGATGAAGAGTGTGGGGCAAGCTCAGAGAGGAAGAACATGCTTACACACTCATGAACATTGGTAAGTGGATTGGACACTCTGAAGCTGCAACAATTTAACCAACAGACTAAGTAGGATTGTGGTTATAGATACTCTGGATGACAGCAACTGCATCCATGTAGCCAACACAACCATCAGGCTGAGGAGAGGAGAAACATCCCCTGCTTCCGTGCAGAGCAACTGCCAACCACTCTCGGAGAGTCTCCACAGGAGTAGGAAGCGCACACCCCACTCCAGGGGTTGCATGTGGGTAGCAGCATCGTATCAGATGACAGCATGAAAGAGGGACCTGCACCTTTGCAGTGACACCTGAGGGCATCATGGCGTAAATCCTATTGATACCATCTAGAAAGACAGCCCATCACTCTCAGTGTTCTTCCTGAAACCCATAACCCAACAAGAGCAAGAGAAAACACTGAGCAACTTCCAAGAGGGGCACCCTACAAAATACCCAGGTGGTATTCAAGTAGCCGTGGCAGCTAAGACAAGGAGGCTATCTTCCAAGAGGTGACCCAGTGTTGGGAAGGGCTACACGACTGTAGCAAACACCTGGCCTGTGGTCTGCGGCTGGCACAGAGGCAGCACCAGTTTATTATGGTGACATGCTTCATATTAATGGGGCCTGGGATACGAGGTCCTCTGGGAACGTTTCTGTACTGTTATCCTCTCTGTTGTGGATTTAAACATGAAGACACGGGGCTCCAACAGAGGTGTGGAGCCATCTCCAGCACTCACAGCTTGTTGAAGGGGTTCATTCAAGCAACTCCTGCTCCAAAGCAGAATTAGACTCTGTGGTAGTGGTGATGTGCTTCACCTTGAGCAGGGGGTGCCCCCCGCCACACACACAATACATAGCTCATTCAGCCCGTCTCCCTCGGGAAGTCTCTCTAATAGAAGTGGTATCCTCTACTGTAAGCAGTCCTTTCACACATCCAGCCCTTGGTCCTGAACTGACCAGAGCCCTGAAGCTAGCATGGTATGTGGCCCAGTGTGTTAGTAAACATATGGCCAGTAATTTGGTGTATGTGTGTTGGGGAGAGGTCCTCGATTGTACCCTAGGACTATCAGAAGATGCAAATGAGGGGTGGGTACAGTGATAATTACTGTGGCTAACAAGCATTAGGGACCTGGCATACCAGGTTTCAAGCCCTGGGTATCTAGTATAAACTACCCACCTCCCCCTGTGACCTCACCTGCCACCTTTCCTCACTGGCATCCAAGACACCCTCCTAGGAGCTCAAGCAGACAGAACTACTGGGGGCAAAGGGGATGATATCCAGAAAAATACAAGGGCCAGCATGGGCCTAGTATGAGAGTCACGACTCTGAGTCTGGATAAATCTTACAGGTTAATTAATAGTTGCCTTCAGCTAAACTGCATTCCAGAAACAGAGATGCTGGCCTGGGTAGGCACCACCAAAATCTACAAGCCTTCCTTTGCAATTGCCCAGGGAGTACACCTGTGCCCAACTACTTGTAGAAAGTCCACACTCACCCTGATCCTTGTCCTTTAGTCCTCCTGCCTCACCCACCAGTCCCTCCCACAGCTGGGCCAGGTTCCCCTGACCACCTCTAGAACTTAATTCCCAGCAGGGTCTATAGAGGCTTCCCCATACAACAGCAACTCCAGCCAGCAGGCAGCAGGCCTTCCTGGGCAAGAGCTCCCCTTCATCCTTGGACTTGGTTACCCACCCTCACATCTCCCTCTGCAGTCCCTGGACATAGCAGGCAGGTAGGAAAAAACTTAGAAGGAACTTCTGTGCCAATTACAGGGCCACACTAAACCATCAGCAGTTGTGCAGGTCCAGCTGCTGAGAGGTTCTGCTTGGCAGAAGGCAAGTGGATAAAGAAAGTTTGTTTAGTTTGAGTACACTGGGCCTTGTGCCCTGGACACACTGCAGCTAGCTGGGGTGGACTGACCCATCTTAGAACAGCCTGAAGGGCTTCAGCTGCTGGGAGAGGTACTGAGTACACCCTCAGCTCACCAGTTAGTTCCCATCTCCCCCACCATGGGTCTAGTTACCCAAGAAGAGCCAAGAAGTCAGCTGGACCCAAGCTGATGGACACCCCGAGGGTCCCTTAATGCAACAAGATAAGGTCTGGCCAGAGCTCCAGTGAGTCTTCCAGACTGGAACTGCCTGTGCCTGTGAACTGCCAGTGAGGATGCAGGAGCCTGGAAAACTCCCCATTAGCCATGAGAGTACAGACCAACCAAGACCCTGCCTGTCTGCAGCCCCATCGGTGCCCTCCCTACCTTCTCCAAGCTGGGAATGCAAGCCTCTGGCTGAGCCCTTCCACCTGCCGGAGGGATGCTGGTCCTCTCTAAGGGCATACTGCCGGCTAGGGCTAGGGCCACCTCTCGCCACCAAGCACAATGGGGGGTGGAGGAGGGGCCCTCAAGGGCTCCATTGTTCCCCCCAGGGACTGAATCCATGATTGTCCCTGGGGGTGGAGCAGCGAGGAGCTAGACAGGCCTGCTAGGGGCCCAGGCAGGTCCTGGCCCTCTCTTCCCCAGCCTCCACTTGAGGTCCAGGAAGTTCTGGCTCACCGTTCTTGAGGAACATCTGAACTTTTGGAGGCATCCCAGGGCTCCCCGGTCTCTCTGGCTCCTTCTGCCTGGGTACCTGCCTGCCCTCTTCACACCCACATGCATCGAATCTGCCCAAGTCCTGTCCCAGGAGCGGCCTCACCTGAAGATGCACAAGGGAGAGCTCTAGCTGACCACCGGGTGGGGGTAGCTGGCAACAGCCACTGCCCTCACCGCAGGGACTGCTCTCCTGGGCGGAGTCAGGCAGCCTGGGCTGAGAGCCCAGAGGAAGAGGGGAGGACAGCAGGACCCAGACACTCAGAATGTCTCATCTTGGGCAGAAGGGGAGGGACAGCCTCCCTAAACTTACAGACATCTCTCTCAGGAATGCTGCACCCACTACAAGCTCTAGGGCTCAGAATCTGGAATCTCTACAAAGGCCCAAGGTTCTGCCCCTCTTCTACCCCAGAAAGCTTCACTGCCCTGCCTTGGGGCTTGGAAGGCTCTACATAAAGGCAAGAGAACATAGTACCCACAGGTCCCAGGGCCAGCACTATGCCCTCATTTTCACGCTCTTTCCTGGTGGCTGGGCACTTTCCTTCCTGGCCAGTGATTCTTGTCACTCTGTATCCCTAAATGGCTTAGAAACAGCTCAAAAAGGCAGCAGTACCAGGTTCTCCAGGACTGAGCCCCATTCCAACCCATGCTGGCTGTCCCAGTTGACTGGTTCCAAGGGGAAGAAGTGATCACAATCAACCCAGCTAGCATTCTGATGACTGGTGGGCCCTGGAACCCCCTTGGCAGCTTTCATAAAGGTTGCCAGGTAGAGGTAGGCAACCAGGGGTCATAGGCCCAGTGTGGATGGCTGTGACATTCTAACCCAAGAGTTACTTTATTAGGATGTCAGTCCTGCTCCAGCAGGAGGGACAGGGACAGCCCAGGGAGAATAGAAGTGAGTACATTTCCGAGTCCTTCAGCCTCAGCAAGCCAGCACAGGGTGAAGAGCCACCATGTGGCCAGACAAGGGGCAGCTCCTCCTACTCCACAGTAGAAGTCTATACAAGTCCTTGGTGCCCTGGCAAAGACCACCCCACCTCATAACCCAGATATATTTGGGGCACAGGCATCACTCTGTGGAATGAAGCAGACCCTCAGGCATGGTCAGTTCCCTGAGCTTTCTTGATTTCCTGCCAAGGAAAAAGGAAAACAGAAAGTCAGGAGAGGCAGGGAACCAGGGAGGGATGGGTCTCAGATCCTCCCCTGGCCCCCAAGGACTCTTGGACTTTGCACTTGTACTTGATAAGATGGCAGTTGGCAGAGCCTCAGTTGCTTAAAGTGCAGCAAGGGTGTGAGCCCTGGCCTCATCAGGGTTTGCTGGACTCACAGGGTGGCTTGAGCAGGGGACTGTGCCAGGACAGGGTAGGTGGGGAGGGGCCCACCTCAGACAGTGCCTGCTTCAATGTTGCATAGGCTTTATCCAAGTTGTCATTGATGATCACCAGGTCAAACAAGCCAGGCTCCTTGCCTGGGAATGAGACAAGACAAAAGTCAGGAACACAGGGAATCTGGCCCCTTCCCACTGCAACAACCTCTACGACTACTCTTGCCTGTCACCGTAATAGGACAGTCAGGACTAGATGGAACTCTGCCTTCTCCTCTAGAGAACCTCAGCTGGGGGTTGCTCATCAAGTTGAGTACTAGAGTATGGACCACTGACCCCTCCCCAGGCCTCTATTTAGAACTGGCACTACCTGTGACAGGCTCCCATATGCACATAGAGAAACAGCAAAAGGTCACAGTGACAGTGTCTGAATGTGGGCCAAACTCAGACCCAGAAACAAGAGCACAGCTTGCAAGAAGATATCTATGACACACTCAAGTCCGTAAGAGAAGTGTGGCCCCTCAAAGGCTCTGCAGACAAAGAAGTCTCAAACTCCTCCCTTTGCCCTTGGTCCTCCCTGTCTCCTGGTGAATGGGCTGGCCACATGCTCCTAAGGTATAAATGACCACACTCACTGCTCTCCATGTCAGCCTGTGCAGCTGCCAGCCGCTTGGCCAAACTCTCCTCAGTTTCAGTGTTGCGCAGCCGCAGTCGCTGCTCCTGAAATGCAGGCCTTTGTTGAGTCAGTACTCTCCAAGTCTCAGGGACTGCCCTGCGGGTCTCCCACACCAGGTACCTACCAGCACAGCCAGCGAGGGAGGTTGCACAGAGATGTAGATGGGATGCAGATCAGTCTTCTTGATGTTGCGCACACCCTGTAGGTCAATGTCTAGCACGCAGATGCGGTTCATGGCCTGCACAGCCCGAACAGCCGCCTTGCTGGGAGCAGGGAAGGGCAGTGAGCAGACATTCAATGGGACCCAAGGCAAGACCCTAGCCCTTAAGCCCACATGAGTGCTTGCCTGCTGACCATCCTCTCAGGAATACACGCATTGGCTGCTAAACTTCAACCTTGGTAGTCTCTTAAAGCTTCCAAGAGCTTCAGAGAAACTCAGCCCCTTCCTCCCCAAGGCCCATCCTAGGTAGGCCTAGCATGGGAAAGAGGCTCACTGAACCCAGCACCATCCGTACTTCCCAGAACATCCAAGCATACCCTCAGACTTGTCAAGTCCTCTGAAAGCACAGTCCTTTTTGTCCTGCAGCCAAATACCAAAAAAGTTTGGGCTTTTGGTCGGGCCTGAGCTGCCGGTCACTGCCTACCTCTTCCTGTGTGAGGTACTCATGTGGCTCCTGCCACACAGGATGGCTTAAGACAGATGAGCCTGGGACATGACTGGGCCTGCCTGCTCCCTGGAGTCTATCAGCTAAGCCATCCCAGCCTAGGCGGGAGACTAGGAGGACATCATATGACAGAGGGAGAGGTGGAAGAGCTTCCTTCTGCCAATTCTGGGGTCACCTTGATCCACACCAAACTCAGCCCACCTTGTTCCATACAGGTTCCCCGAGAACTCAGCATGCTCAATGAAGTCCCCTGCTGCAATATCACGCTGCATCATCTCCCTGGTCACAAAGTAGTAATCTGGAGAGGAAGAGGGCTTTTCAGAGGATACCCAAAACCCAGGCCCCTCTCCATCCTACACAGGACTGTTATAGATAGATCCAGACTGGAACAGACACCACTGTCCTCACTGTCCTTGCTGGGGGACTAGAAATAGTCAAGTTCCACAGAAAAGAGGGATACCCCTGCCCTCACTCTGATGATGCACAGACTCTAATCACGCTACTAACCCAAAGGCAAGAGATACTCTCCTGCTGGGGACTGAGTTCTGTCCTCCCACTGTCCCCTTCCCTCCACAGTAAGTCATGCCTGAGACCCTTGGATTAGCAGGTCAGCTCACCTTTGCCATTTTCCTCACCAGGTCGTGGATTCCTTGTAGTATCTAGAAAAAAGACCTATCACACACTGAAGAGATGGGTGTACAACCCTTCCACCCTACCCAGGGTCTTCCCTTGCAGGCCTGCTCAGTTCTCTGGTTGTATAGCAGCAGGTGGTGCTCACAGCCAGTGGAAAGCCCAGACCAGATCTCAAGAGGTCACTGGGGCCAAGATGCTTACTCTAGATGAAGGCCCTGGGAAGGGAGAGGGTAATGGGGTTGAGGGGGTAAGGATAGCATCTCCTAGGCTGGGGGTGTGTATTTGGAACTCTAGTAGTCCAGTGCTGGGATAGCCTCTGAGCTCCTTGCCCTTCAGGGTCCTGGGGCACTCACGGGACACACTGAAGCCAAAGATGCTGCCATGTTCCTGGAACAACTTCTTGAGCAGGGTGCTCTTCCCTGCTCCTGACGGCCCACTCAGCACCACTGGCCTAGGTCCTGCCATGCCTGTGAGAGGAGAGGCATCACAGACATGAGAGGTTTTGCCCTTGCTGGTACCCTGGCATTTTTCTAAGAGGCAGTGGTATGAGTAACTCCCAAGGGCAACATCCCCCTATAATGCGAACCCTCCTCTCAACAGTAGTCAACTGGTAAGACAGTAAACACAGGCAGGAAAGCCAACAGGATTCCAACATCCAGCCTCACACACACCCAACAGGATGTCCACAGGCATGTGACCCAGAAACAGACAATGCAGCACTCACTGGTCCCACCCCATATAGGCTGCCCTCCAGAACCTGACCTCACACTGCAGTGCCCATAATGGCACTGCCCATTGGGAGGTCCAAGTCTGAAAACAGAAATTCCCTGGTACTACAAACATGGCATCCTCAAGTCTATTCAGTTCAAACCTGTTTGGGAAACTTCCCACTAGACATGCAACCATCCCTAACTTCTCTGGGAAAGGCAATCTGTAGCCGGCCGGCCAAGAGTTAGAATAGCACCCCTAGCCTCCCAAGGGGAAAGTGAATGCAGCTCAGCTCAGGCATCCAGATCTGCTGCAGGTAGGGGCTGCCAACGGAGGAGCAACTGCTGTGGTAGGCATGAAAGCACAGAAACCTCCTCCATCACAGTCTGATCTAGGACCTGAGCCTCCTTCCCTTACCCTAGGACCATCTTATCTCACCGGTTCCCAAACTCATGCCTAAGCACCCAGCTCCACCTCACCCTCAGCCCTAATCCTCCCTCCAGCCTGGCCTCTGAGCAGGTCATCATTTACACAACCAGGACCCTGTCTATGAAGGCCTTCCTGCCTCCCCAGGATGGAAACCACCTACTTGATGTGCTGCAGCCTCCGTGGTTAACCTGGGAAGAGTCAATGGCTGCTCTACACCTAGGGACAGGGGACTAATCTCTGCCAAGCCCATACCCCGCCCTTCAATAAATCCCTGGGGCACCCAGCCCTGCCTGCACTGGCTGCAAAGAGATCAGCCCCATTCTTCCACTGTGCAAGAAGGAAAAGGAATTACTTGTCCTTCTCCTGAGACTACACCTGTTCAAATAACCAGGGCTGCATCTGACACACTGACAGATGGGGAAGAGCCACCACAGGGGCTGAGAGACATGAGCTGCTGCTCTCTACTGAGGTTGAGGAAAAGGGAGATCAGGGAAGGTATTTGGGAGCTGGAGGGGCTGTCTGCCAACCCAAGCAACTTTGGCCTCTAAGGGTGAGGCCCACACAGCTTTTGGTCCAAAAGGCATAGGCTGCAGGAAGGGCATCAGCTTAGGGAAGTCTTGTGTTCTTAATCCCTGATGTAGGCCATGAGGTAATCTTACAAAAGCACTGGTGCTGGTATTCTATCACCCACAGGAGCACAAGCACTATGAGTATGGCACATGTGCATGCACATCACACATGCATACTCAGAACACACACATGCACATGTCCCTGAGAAGCACACAGGACCACCTATATAAAGGCATAGTTAAGGGGTCCTAGAGAAACTCACTCAGTGTCACCAGTGGTGCCTCTCAATGACACTGCTCCCTTATGGCTCTCCCCAGTCACACCGACCACTGTACGCCAATTTCCTGTCTGGGCTCCAGGCTTCCCCTGACCCACATCTCATCACCACCTTTTCACAGGTATCCTCTTCCCTAGTCACTGAGCCCTGCTGCTTCCACCATGGCCTGGCCCTAAGAGTGTATGCTACAAACCACCCAACCCAGCTCCTACAAAGCTGCCTTCCTTCTGCCTGCTGTATCAGGCACTCCGGATGAGAGTTCCTCAAGGTGCTGCACTGGCTCCAAATTCCCTTGATGGCCACAGGCTGTGATCTGCAGCTGCCAATGTGTTCTACATCTGCACATTCTAAATGACCCATTTCTGGAGCTCTTGGTTCCCTTGAGCTTAAAAGGAGCTTAAGGCAGCGCTCACCGTGGGGCTGCGTAACTCACTGCACAGTTGTATTCCAGAGACTGAGAACACAGGATCTGACACTCAAAGAACAAGTACAACAGAGGAGAACCACAGCTAAGAGAGATGCTCCAAAGTGCATGAGGTAAGAAGCTTCTGAGAAAAGGATCTCAGGTCGGATGGTCAAGAGGACATGCATGAGGGACAGGCATGGGTGAAACACGTGATCTGTAATCCCATCAGACAATGGAGCAGCCTATACCCATCCCCCACTCTGTTCCCTGCTTCCAACTCTAAGTAATGATGAGCTGGTATCACCCAGATTTCAGTCTCAAATCCTCATTTCTGGCATTGTGGGAGTCCTCTCTTGACCCTAACCCTGTACCTTGTAGGCCATGACCAGACAGGGGGAGGAAGGACACTGGCGTGCACATGTGGACATATGCTACAGCTGAATCCAACCCAGCTCTGCACTCCCTAAGGCACCCCTGCTAAGCCGCTTAACCTCTCTCTCTCTCAAGGCCAGCCTTTCAGGAGTCAGTGTTTAACTTCTGTCCTCCTGGGGCTGAATCACAAGGGACAGGAAGACACAGGGCACCAGCTCCACCTGTTGGCCCCTTGGCTCTGAAGAGTGCCAGTAGGTGTCACCAGGCACGGGCACATGCAGCCCGTGGACCTTTGACAGTTCTTGGTGAGCCTCAATGACACTACACTTGCTTGGATCTACACAGACCCTACCAGATGACCCTGACTAGCAGCCAGCTGTGTGGTACAGTGGCACTGGGGCCTGGCAAGGGGAGTACGGAGGACTCTAGTCAGCAGCTAGGTGACCAGGCGTTCGCTACATCTCCACGGGGCCACAGCTAACGGCAGAAACTACAGATCTAATCTCTGCTCTAGCATTTACAGACGTGTGTGCTACTCAAAGGCAACTTCCTTTGGGGAGACCACTGGAAAAACTTTGGACCCCAATCTCTTTAGCTCTTCTAGCCCCAGACTTCAATTGCCTGACAAAGAGCCCCAAGCCCTTAACTCTAAGATGAGCTAAGATACAAGTGATTTCCACAGGAGCATTGGGAGGGAACATGCTCTCCTGGAACACTCCCTAGACACAACTTCCTGCACAACCTCTTCCTGTCTTTACCTTAGGGCCCCTAGGACTAGAAATCTGTCACAACCACCGCATCCCTCCTGTCCACTGAAGCTACAAGCAGCACTAGGCAGATATGAGTGACACATTCCAGCCCTGAAGCCCCCAGAATTGAGGAGCCTCTTCCAACGGCAGCACCAAGAGTAGCCAAAGCATTTTCATGCTCATTCCTCTACCTGAGCCAGAGGGACATACCACAGCCCCCCACGGAAGGAAGGGTGGAGTAGCAGCCAACCACGAACAGGCTGCTGCTGGACCTTCCTGGTGCTACCCATCTCTGTTTGTGATGCTTCCCATCAAGGTCAAAAAAGAACAGGTTGAATCTTGAATGGGGTCCTGGATGCCACAATCATGAGGCAAAACGAACATGAAAGAAAAAAAAGGGTTCAGAATCCAAGGAGAGCAAAATAGAAAGACCCAGGATGTTGCAGGGCTTGTCAACTGCTCACTGGTGTAGAAGGGAAAGTAAGGAAACAGGGTCAGGCAAGACTGAGGGGTGGATGAGGCCCACCCAGCAGGACCAGGAGTAAGGTATGGCAAAGGACACTAAGGCCCAATACATGCAGGCAAGGAATGGATAGGGCAGGGCAGAGACTGGGGACCTTGTACAAGGAAGGACCAGTACAGAGTCAGGGAGGATGGGAGATAGGACAGGGGAGACTGAGGTCTACTGCAGGCAAGGCCGGTGGAAACCGAGGACCACCACATTCTGGATCAGCGAGAATGGGGACAGGGTGGGGCAGGGAAGACCAGGGATGCTGCAAGCAGCCTGCCTCTACAGCTGCCTACACAGGGCTCACCCTCATTTTACCTCTCCTTTGATGCCTGGGCTGTCTCCTCCCACACCTCCTTCTGCCTCATCCTTCAAATTACCTTAACATGTTTCCTGGATATTTTGTATGTGTCCAGACAAAAAGAAAGTTTAAGTGTGGCTGAACAGAAATATACTGCCTCAAATTTACTACTCCAGAAAATTACTAGTCTCCCCGCTGCCCCTCCTAGACAGAGATCCAGCGCTGAACCAAGGAAGGCCAGGCAAACAGCAGCAATGGCTGATTTAGCATCTACGGGAACATAAAAGCCTAATACGTGAAGGCAGGGGTAACGTGGGTAGACAGGCTAAAGTAGCAGGAAATTCTGCTTCTTAGTGCCAAACTGGAAACCGCCTTAATGGTAGCTCTCATAACTAACCTATGATCCCCAAAAAGTAAACTGGAGAAATACCCACAGAAACAAATCTTCCTCTCCTTGGACCCTATCCAAGGCTGACCGGCCATTGATTCGCTTTCTCCCAATCTCTTCAGGTAGCTAATGTCACCTGCTCCTCCTCCAGCCGCCACCTAAAGGAACCTTCTCACTCACCGCTTCCCCGCCCACTTCCACAATGGATAAAATGATGCCTGGGAATATGAAGCCCAAAGGCGGCACCAGAAACCTCAATCTGGGACAGGCCGAATCCCAATACCCACACCTAGGCATCAGCGGGGGCCTGCACCACCTGCAGACACCGAAGTCCGGCAATGGCGAAGGGGGAAAGCCAGGTGCTTGAGCCTGTCCAGGATGCCGGGTGGGCAGGGCGCCGAGGAAGAGCGCCAGCTAGGCTCAGGCTGCGCGGGCTTGCGGGTGGCTGCGACTCCGCGTGCCTGTCCCTGTCGTTCTGAGGACCCGGAAAACACGTTCACCAGGCGTCCTCAGAAGAGCAGGGGTCTTTGGAGGCAGCGCGCAAGGGACGCACGCGGCCAAGTCCCGCTCCTGAGGCAGTCGTCAGCAGCAAAGCGCACTCACCGTCCGCAGGGACGCGAGCCAGGGCGGCCACTGCCAGCCCGACCAGCGGGCGCCGCAGCATCAGGGACCGCCCGCAGGACTACGTCACAGCGGTGCGCCGGCCCATGAGGGCATACCGGAGCGCGGCACGGCTGCGCACGCGGACTGCGCAAAATCGCCAGTGCGGGTGCCCTCCCTCCACCGCCCGCCGACATTACGTCACCCCCTCCGGCCCCGCTCACTCCGAATCACCTGGCCAGGTCACGGCCGCAGGGCTACGTCACAGCAGCGCGTCGGTCTGCGAGGGCCAGCGAAGGCCAGCGGGAGGGGGAGCGCCGCACTGCTGCGCAGGCGTATTGCGTGGTACTCCCCGAAGACCACGCCCATTTTACCCTTAGTCCTCGCGTCTTCAGGCGTGGTTTTATTCCATGGTCGCTTTTTTTTTTTTTCTAGGTTCAGACCCCGCCTGCCCACAGAGAAGACCCGAAGAGGAGCACTTTAAAAATCAAGTGGCCGGGAGAGATGACTCAGCGTTTAAGAGCACTGACAGCTCTTGCAGAGAGGGCTTGGGTTCAATTCCCAGTTCTCATATGGCGGGTGACAACTGTCTGTAACTCCGGTCTTAGGAGTTACATAGACAAACATGCAGGCAAAACACCAGTGCACATTAAATTTAAAAAAAAAATGAAATCAGCATCGAGTCCGTTGAGTCACGCTTTTGCATTATCCGGTTACCCTTTAGGAACCAGGTTCGGTTCAGTTCCCACACTCAAACCGTGTATGGTCTCACCTGGCCTCCTCAGGCACCTGCCCCTCACTCAGGCTCATGTACTTACACAAGTAGACTATGTAGTCCTGACAGGCTCCCGGGAGAGCCGCCTGCCTCTACCATACCAAATCGTGGATTAGAAAACGTGCTTTTCGCAGGGTGGTGGCGGCGCACACCTTTAATCGCAGCACTAGGAGGCAGAGGCAGGTGGATCTCTGTGAGTTCGAGCCCAGCCTGGTCTACAAGAGCTAGTTCCGGGGGACAGGCTCCAAAGCTACAGAGAAAACCCGTCTCTAAAAACCAAAAAGATAAAAAGTAAATAAATAAATAAATAAATGTCTTTAGTCCCAGCACTCCAGACAGAGGCAAGAGGCAAGTTCAAGGCTGGCCTGGTCCACAAAGTGAGTTCCAGAACAACCAGGGCAAACCTTGTCTTGAAAGAGCCTAATTAATTAATTTAAAAGGTGTACACCAGCTGAGCAGTGATGGCTCACATCTTTAATCCCAGCACTCAAGAGGGAGAAGCAGGAGGGTCTCTGAATTCTAGGCTAGCTTGGTCTACTGAGCGAGTTCCAAGACAGGCTCCAAAGCTACACAGAAATCCTGTCTCAAAAAGCAACAACAACAAAGGTACTCACCGAAGAACCAAAGTTCCTCTGTTTTGTCCTCCTCCTCTGCCTAATGTCTTGGGTAAGCTATTTTCCATAAAACATTCCAGTTCTCAGAAATGGCTAGGGACAAAAGTAACAGGGTAGCCACCTGGAAAGTACAGATAACCACACAATGTCCCCACCCAGAGGTCAGCCGATAAGAAAACTTGACAAGCAAAGGGGGAGGGGGAGGTTCGAAACTAAAAATTTGTGAAAAGTCCCTACGCACAAGCCAATCAGGATTCAACCCATCACCCCAAACCATGCTAATGTAACTTTACTGACTTTTGCCTTTAAATGATGCTCTCTAGAAGGGTGGGACACCTCCTCTCGCTGCTGTGCTGATGAGGTCCAGGCCGGCCTGCAATTATGATAATAAATGTTGCTTAGGCATTTCAGCGAGTCGGTCTCCCTGGGGTCTTTTGGGGTCCCCACGGACTAGGCACAACAGTAACAAGCCATGTGGCAAAATGTAGATTAATATCAACAGGTTAATTTAAGTTTCAAGAGTTACTTGGGAACAAGCCTAAACTGAGGCCAAAACTTTCATCATTATTGGGGAGCTGGAACACCAAGGAAAGCTTGATTATAGCTGAGTCTGGGGGGGGGGCAGGTGGTGAGGGCACCACACATCTGCTGGCAGGTTGACCTTGAGTTTATGAGGCTCTGGGAACTTAGCTGTGTCTTCCACTCTCCACTGAACCTATCACTAAATCCTAAGACTCATTTCCACCATCTGAGCTTCTGTCTGCTGTCTCAATTTAGGAATCAAAAATTGCTTTAAATACAATGACAAAAAAGAGATTTTTGGATATGTCTTAAATGTCTTAAATTTGGGGCTGGAGAGATGGATCAGAGGTTAAGAACACTGCCTGATGTTCCAGAGATCCTGAGTTCAATTCCTAGCAACCACATGGTGGCTCACAACCATCTGAAATGAGATCTGGTGCCCTCTTCTGGCCCGCAAGTATACATGCAAGCGGAACATTGTATATGTAATAAATAAACATATTTTTTAAAAAAAGTCTTAAATTTGTTACAGGCTGGAGAGTGGAGGGGAAAAAGGATAGGGCTATTTATTTATCTATCTATTTACTTATCTATTTTTGTGACAAGGTCTTACTCTGTAGACCAAGCTGACCTTGAACTCACAGAAATCTGCCTGCCTCTGCCCTCTGGGATTTCAGGGGTGAACCACTGAGTTCAGCATATAAGGCCACTTTAAAAAAAATTATTTATTTATTTATTTACTATGTATACAGTGTTCTGCCTGTGTGTATGCTTGCACATGAGAAGAGGGAACCAGATCTCATTACAGATGGTTGTGAGCCACCTTGTTAGTGGGAATTGAACTCAGAACCTCTGGAAGAGCTGCCAGTGCTCTTAACCTCTGAGCCATCTCTCCAGCCCCTATAAGACAATTTGTTTTTGTTTTGCTTTGTTTTGTTTTTTATTATTTTGGTTTTTTGTTTTGTTTTGTTTTGAGATAGGGTTTCCCAGTAGCTATAAAGCCAATCCTGGAACTCACTGTGTAGACCAGGCTGGCCTCGAACTCACAGAGATCTCCATGCCTCTGCCTACCAAGTGCTGGGATTAAAGGTGTGCACTGCCACCACCCAGCAAGACTATTAAAAAAAAAAACTCACAGCTTTAAACCAGAAAAGGAAGAAGGGGCGGTGTGTGTGTGTGTGGAGGGGTGTCCTCTGCTCTTCACTGTTTTCTTTGTGCTGAACTTCACCCATCACGACCCCGGCCACAGCCTGCTTTTCAAAAGAACCAGCCAAGAAGTAACAAGACTTGGTGGCTCACACTTATAATCCCAGAACTCAGGAATCTGAGGCAGGAATATTGTCAGAAAGGCAAGGCCAGCCTAGGCTATATAGTGAGTTCCAGTCTAACTTTGTCTATGTAGCAAGTTCAAGAATAGCCAAGGTTACATAGAGAGAGACCCTCTCTGAAAAAAAAAGAAAAAAAAACAAAACAGCAAAAACTGAAATAAATAAATAAAAATTGAGGAGCCAAGGATATTTCTCAAAGGGATATAGGTGCCTGCTGCAAGGCTTGACTACCTGCTTTTGCTCCCAGAATCCCACGCGATGGAAGGAGAGAGCTCATCTGGCAGACTAGCCTCTGATAGTCAGGTGTGCATCATGCTACATGGGCACCCCGCACAGGCACACACACACAGAATAAATAAATACAATGTAATTTAAAAATAAAACCCAAACCCTTCTTTTCGTGGACTGTGTCTTTCCACACTGGCAATGAACAGATAGCCTCTTCGCAGCTGTAATTTTGCCTCTAAGTAGAGCCCCTTGCCCACAGTAGACAGAACCAATCCCCATACTCATGCCCGAGCTTCCTTACTGGTCAACTGCAAATTCAAAACCTGCCCCAGGTCGAGCCAGCCTACTAGAGCTCACTGAATGTTTGTTTGCTTCCAGAGACCACAAGCAATCAACAGGAATAGTGTCATGAGAGAGGAAGTCAGAATGTGAGTGTCTGTGAGGATTGAATGAATGTGGCTTGGGCCTGGGTCACTTCTCTTCCTCACTCTGGACAAAACCTAAACACCTTTATCGGGCCCTGGGCGTATTTATGGCCTTGAGGTACCAGAGAGGACCTGAAGTCTGTCTCAAAGGATGAGTAAAGGAGGTTGAAGGAGGAGACTCGATTGATCCTTATCTGTCATTTACAGAAACATAGACGTGGGTGTATGAGGACCCACTCACACACTGAGAGGGGGATTAGGGAGGGAGAAGGTGAATATCTGTTTCCTAATGAGTAGCCTACAGAAAGGCAAGTGGATACTAGGCAAGGTCATCACCACAATGGGCCACCAGTTCCAAGTGAATGCTCATGCAACCAAGGCCCCTGTTGGTGGGTAGGACAACTGAGGCAGGGCCCTTCCCCCAAGCAAAATTAGTACTCAGAAGGGCACACTTGTAAAGACAGCATCCTGCCACCATGCTCCATTTCCACAAGGGACACACAAGGTTCTTTGTGCTGAGAGGTTGACAAGTTCTAGAACAGATACTCCAAGTCACAAGATGTGCTAGGAAAGGGACTCTGTTTAGGCCCTCCAGTGTGAAAACTGGCTTCTCGTAATTTATTTTAACATTTATTTTGGCGAGGTACAATGGTGAGTATTGTGCCCAGTCCATGGGGACCCCAAAAGACCACCAGGAGACTGACTCACAGATATGAAGAAGTAAGGTTTATTATTGCTATTGCAGGCCAGCCTGGACCTCATCAGCACAGCAGCGAGAGGAGGTGTCCCACCCTTCTAGAGAGCATCACTTAAAGGCAAAAGCCAGTAAAGTTACATTAGCAGGGTTTGGGGTGATGGGTTGAATCCTGATTGGCTCGTGCGTAGGGACTTTTCACAAATTTTTAGTTTCAAACCTCACCCTCACCCCTTGCTTGTCAAGTTTTCTTATCGGCTGACCTCTGGGTGGGGACATTGTGTGGTTATCTGTACTTTCCAGGTGGCTACCTTGTTACTTTTGTCCCTAGCCATTTCTGAGAACTGGAATGTTTTATAGAAAATAGCTTACACAATACAAGATAGAGGCAGAGAACAAAACAGAGGAACTTTGGTTCTTCGGTTACCTTTCCTCGATCCTGCACAAATAACTTCCTCCAAGTCTTGTTGGTGAATCTCCCATGCCTCAGATTCTTTCCAGGAGTTCCTATCTCTCCCTGGAAGTCCGGCCTATCCTCTCCTGCCAAGCTATTGGCCAGTTGGTTCTTTATTAACCAATCAGAATGTGCCCTAGGCAAGAAAGGAAGGACACCACCGTGTACAAAAAGGTTATCCAACACTTAGTACACTCACTGGTCTATAAATTTAGACAGTTTCAGCAGCGCCCAGAGGAGTCCTTGCCAGCTGTTCTGACAGCAGACTACAGAACAGGACTACTGGGGACAGCTGGCTAGAGAAGCCAGAAAGCCTAACAGCCCTTTCCTTAGACAATGTCCATGTGGCTCCTAGGCCACTGACAGGGCTCACCTGGCCTTTGTAAGGCGGCTGGGGCTTCCTGTTGGGGATCCTATGGGCACCAGTTTACAGTTGCATGGATTGGCAGTGAGGGCAGTTCTGTGGCCCATGTTTCCTACGACCTGATAACAACACTTGTAGGCCAGGGTGTGCGATTAGCTCCGAGGCTGGCTGCCAGGCTGCAAAACCAAACCGAAACAAAACACGACTTCTCATTTTGTGTCCCTTGGCAGACTTCTGCCTATACGCAGGACAGCCCCAGGAGGAGGCAGGGAAATAGACTGACCAGTGCAACCTAAAGAGGGATGATAAAAGACAAAGAACTCAGAAAGAAACAAGAAAGGGTAAGGAAAAAGTTCTAGGACTATGACGCCCAGGGGCCCAATGTGGCAAAAGCCTCTAAAGGCAGCATAGGGAGTAAAATAGACAACCTTCTGCAGTCCTCCCGAGAAACTACGGAGAGTCCTACAGCCAGCACAGCGGTACATCTCCAGGACTCGCGAGAACTGCTGCCACAAGTTCAAGAGGATGGAGAGTTGCAGGACCCCTTAGTGTTGGGTTACTCAGGAGATACCAGTCCGATACTTGAAAGTCTGGAGAACCGATTGTTTTCTAATAATCCTCCTTCACGTTGGCTGTTTGGTCATCCCGACCTGGCGCTTGAATGTCCGTCTTCCAGACATGGGTCCACCACGCACCCCCAGACAAGCCATATACTTGCTGAAAGAAAGGGGTCTAAGTGCGACCATCGGATCCGGAGCAAACCTGGAAAACAACCAGGCGTGAAAACTTAGATGTCAAAGACGCACAGCAGCAATGCTGTCCTGCTTCCATCCACGAACTGCACAGCGCCATGCAGCCTGCACCCCAGAAAGTCCCAGAGTCCCGACCGCCTTCCGCCCAGTGCAAAGCGCCAGCCTTGTCTACACCGGCTTTGCCACCCATAGCAATGCTGGGTAAGCCCTATCCGGCGTACCTGGATCACTAACCAGGCAGGCTTCAGTCAGTCTCAACCACGCCCACTTGGTCTTACTCCGCCTTAACGGAGGACGTCAGCCCGCGCTACGTGACATCATCGCTGCGCGCCGCGGCGCCTGCAGGAGAACTGGGTCACAGACAAGGGTCGATCATCGTGTACAGAGACACCGCATGGTTTCCCATCTTCTGAGTAAAGTTCTGCAGGGCGGGTCTACGAGGTCCCTCCAACGCTAAGGTGGCGGCCGCAGGTTGGAGTCTCTTGGGCGCCGGCAGCAACCGGCCCCATCACTGACGAGTGAAAGGGAGGGGGACATACACCGTCGTGTGGGGCGAATAGAAAGGGGCTTCTCCACAGATGACCCCGAGCCTTGTCGCCGTGGCTGGAGAGCAGGCGGTCCCGGACTTGGGACACTGACCAGCGGGATCGCTTCTTCCGAGGCAGTGGGAACCTCCTAATCTATGCACTCTCCCACTGGTTTAATCTTGCTGAGTGTTGGACACTCGACTTCCCACCTGCCTAGACTACTTTGGGAGTTTCTGGCATTGGAGAAAGTTAGCACGAACTTCTTTTCCTGTCTGTAATCAGACTTTATAATAATCTGATAAGCGTCCTGTCATAATCGTATTATTATGAAAACTAAAACGATGTTAATAAGAAAGAACCAAGCACCACACACACACCGCACAGGGTGAGGCTCTGACTCCATAACCTTCAGAAATGGGTGGGCGTTAGTCTTGCTGAAACGAACTCAGTCTTTGGAGGATAGGACGCTGGTAGCAGCTTTTATGAAAAGCCTCCAGAAGCTGTTCTAATCTGAGGCCAGAGAGCTGGTGGGATAGACTGGCAAGTGACACCGTGCTCTCAAGCCTGACCATTCGCGGAGAATTCAAACCACGGATCGAAGATAGCTTTTTAAATAGAGTCTACACTGAACATAGGGTTTTCCTGGAAACAAAATCACTTAATAACTGTTATATGGGTTGTGTATACGCTCAGGTTGCTTGCTTCCGTTTTTTGAGACAGTCTCGACACACTGACCTTTAACTCCCTGTGTAACAGGATAATCTTGAACTCCTGATCCTCCTGCATCTGTCTCCTGAGTGTTGGAAATGCATGTAGTCCACACCTGGCTTTGTATTCTTTTAGGTATTCTAAGTGATTTAAGGCACAAGGGAACCAGTGACAGGTCATATGCAAATACTGCGCCAGGAACTCCGGGACCAATGGACGCAGAGCCACAGTAGATGTGCTGCCAGAGGTGCACCTGGCTCTGACGTAGCTCCAGGCAAGGATTTTAGAACAATAATCAAGTGGAAAAATCAGGTTTTTTTTTTTTTTCCTTGCCTAACAGATCCTACATCTGGGCCAGTGATTGTTTTCTCGCGCCACCACAGCTCCAAGGAAAAACAATGCCTTTGGGCAGCCTGCTTGGGAAAGCATGGAGTTCCAGTCCCCTCAGGTACATCCCTGTCCTTGGTGCTAGGAGGCTTGTGCCCTGAGCCACCCACTGTAGACAGCTTCAATGATGCTAATAGCTCAGCAGAGGCCCCTCTCAATGTGAATCAACAATCTTCACTGATTGCTGGGCAGTTCTCTGTCCTACCCTGACAGTGGCTGGCTGGCTGGCTGGCTACTTGGTGCCATCTGGCTCAGCACCACCCATCAACCAATGTTTGCATTGTCTGTAGCCTGCTGAGGCACTGTGCCGTGAGGGCAGCCACTCCTGCACCCCGCCACCTTCACACCTCCTTGTGGAGAGCTGACAGCAGCAGGGCCTCACTTACTCGACTGCGCCGCCAGGCCTATGCTCGCCTCTACCCTGTGCTACTGGTCAAGCAGGACGGTTCCACCATCCATATCCGATACCGGGAGCCACGGCGCATACTAGCGGTAAGCGTCCTTCAGTAGGTGTTTGCTGAGCCATAGTGTTGGGGCTCAGGGCCCGAACTTGGAACTGAGGTTGCATACATAGCTAAAGTGGAGGAGGAGGGGAACAGGTTGTTGGAGGAATTTACACCAAAAACTCCAATCATCAAAATTAGAACAAACAAATGAGTCATTTCTTGTTTGGGTTTTGTTCTTGTTTTATTTGTACAGGGTCTTGTGAAAACCAGGTTGGCTTTGAAGTTACATACTCAGGCTGACCTTGACCTCCAATCTTCCTGCCTCTTTGAATGCTTAAATTATAGGCCTGTTGGCCAGGCAGTGATGGCTCACGCCTTTAATCCCAGCACTCGGGAGGCAGAGGCAGGCGGATCTCTGTGAGTTCGAGGCCAGCCTGGTCTAGTAGAACTAGTTCCAGGACAGGAACCAAAAAGCTACGGAGAAACCCTGTCTCGAAAAAAAAAAAAATTATAGGCCTGTGTCACCATGCCAGGCTTAAGAAGTCTGTTTAAAAAAAAAAAAAAACAATCAACAGGGTTGGAGAAGATAGCTCAGAGGTTAAGAGCATGGCTGCACCTCCAGAGATTCTGAGTTCAATTCCCAGCAACCACATGGTGGCTCACAACCATCTCTAATGAAATCTGGTGCCTTCTCCTGGCCTGCAGACAGAGCACTGTGTAAATAATAAATAAATCTAAAAAACAAACAAACAAAAGCCAAACAACAAAACCCACCAAATCCTAGTTGGTAGAGGCATAAAGCCTTTGGTTCCAGGACCACATAAACCAGGCATGGTGGCACAGAGCTGTAACTGCAGCACTCTGGGGGCTGAGGATGGTTGCTGTGAGTCTGATGCTCTTTTGTACAAATTAAAACTCTGTCTTAAACAAACATACACTAAACCTAGGGGAAAGGAGTAGAAAAACATTTCCCTTCCAAACAGGAGTTACAGATTTGATTAGCCAATTAGTAGGCCAGCACAGGACAGAAGGCACAGCCGTGTAAAAGAGGTCCAGGTGTCTTCCCGGTCACTTTCCTGACATCTCCCCAATAGCGAGTACATGCCTTCACTTCTCCCCATGCAGATGCCCCTAGACCTGGATGCCCTATCTCCAGAAGAGCGCCGGGCCCGGTTCCGAAAACGTGAGGCTCAGCTCCTGCAGAAGAAGGAAGAAGAGCCAGAGATGATAGACAGTTTTGACACTGAACGATACAAACGGTTTTGGACCAAGACCAAGAAGTAACTTTGTCAGGGCGTTACATCAGAGACATTTTGTAAGGATGGGAGGCACCTGTCTGTAAATCATACCTTCTTGAAACCATAGCCTCCTGTCACTGTCTTCCGTGTGTAAGTCCCACCCTGAAGTTCATCATTTCGGGAAAGTATGTGCCAGCTCAAAGCCAGGTTGGAGTTAGAATGGATTAGTCGCTTTAGGATCCATTTTGTCAGACCTGTGGATTTTTTTGTTTGTGTTTTTGGGTTTTGTTTTTTTAAGACAAAAGTTTCACCCTGATTGGTCTATAATTCCTATGTAGACCAGGCCTGACACTGCCTCCTGAGTACTGGGATTAAAGGTATATGCCATCACACTTAGCTTCAAACCTCTGGGTTTTAAACACGGTTAAAAGGTTAGCTGTGAAGTATATGGACAGTGGACAGGAAGCTCTACCTGCCTACCCCTAGGAACCTCCAAGTTTAACTCCTAGATCACACATGGTCAGCAGTGATTATCCTCAGCCCCAACCTTTATAGGTCCTTCCCTGAAAGGCTTCCCAGGGAGAAACACTTTCCTGCCCTTGGGTACCTAGGAATGTGGCCAAACTGTGTGTCTTTGTTTCTGAGGCAGACTTTCTCTTTGTATCTGGCTGTCTTGGAACTTCCTCTGTAGACCAGGCTGGCCTCACACTCAGAGATCCATCTGCCTCTTCCTCCTGGATTAAAGAAGTGTGCCACCACCACTGGCCAGGCTGTGTCTTGAACCCCTAGTCTACTCCAGTCTGCAGAATAACTGGCCACACAAACCAAAGCCTATAACAGCTGCCTGAACCTTTGTACATCTTAATGATGATGTAAAATTCCATTGGCTGCCTCCAGATGCAAGAGTGCACATAGTACCTAACTTCAAGAAAAGCAGGCCTGTGACCATCCAGCCTTTCACGGCTGTAGTCAGTTGCTTAAGGTTCCGGTTCTCACAGGAATAGGTGGTTACTCAAGGCTGCACAGGCTTGGAACTGGTCTGGACACTTGTCCCAGAGCCATGCTCTTCTTAGCTTCACTTGGTATGCATTCTGTGCTCGGACAGTGCAACTCAGCCTTCTATGTCCTTAGCATACTTGGTCAGCAGTGAGGGCCTCAGAAGCTGCTATCTTGCTTTCTGAAGAGCTTCTCTGGGAGATGACTGGTTTACTCTCCTTTCACTGTGGCCCACGTCTGTCTGCTGCTCCCGTATTGTGCAGCTCCCCTTGGGTCCATCCATGCCATCCATCCAGCCCTTGGGTGATCCTGTTCTGAGGGATCTGGTTCCAATTGTGTTCTCCAAAGCCAGGACATGAACTCGGGGCTTGTACTAGTTGCTTCACAAGCTGTTTGCAGGTACTCACCATGTATTCAGAATAAAGACACGAGCAAAAATGGGGCTGTCCAGGTCTCTCTGGGATGCCAGAGAGTGCCAGGTTATGTTGAGGCAGGGCCTTGTTAAATTGCCCAGACTACATTTCAAATCTCTTTGTAAGCTTAGGCAGTCCTTGAACTTCCAGACTTCCTGCTTTACCCTTCTAGGGAACTGGGATTACACTTTCACCACCACGCCTAGCTCAGATGGGGTACTTTCATTAACAGGGTGGGATACACTCTATGGTATGTGTGTGTTCAGAGGACAAATTGTGGGCGTTTGTTCTCTCCACCATGTGGGTCCTGGGGATCAAACTTGCTTCACCAGGCTTGGCCCATACCCTCTGAGCCATCTCACCAGCCCTGGGTACTTTATAAATAGTAATTCTCACAGCTGCAGATTTTATACATGTGTTGTTTTGTAGAATATGTGAAGTTTCTCCAAAAGCGGTGACAAAGGAGTTCTCACAAGGGAGTGATCCAACTGCTCTCTAGATAGATCCCTAAAGAAATACTAGGGTGAGGAGTGTGGTGGCCACACCTTTAATCCCAGCACTTGGGAGGCAGAGGCAGGTGGATCTCTGTGAGGCCAGCAGGGGTACACAGTTAAACCTTATCTCAAAAACAAACTGGAAGACATTAGCCAAGTTGCCTCTTCTGATTAATACTGGAAGAACTGGAAACCAGGGGGCAAGGCTTGCTTTTTTTCCCACCTCCTTTGATAACAAGAGTTACAAATTTGCAGCTTGGAGGAGCCTGCTTCACAGGCCAGCATGTTCAAGGCTATCGAAATCACAACAATGATTGTCTTCAGAAGAATATCCGAGGTATAGGAACATCATTTACCTTGTTCTGTAGAAGCTGAGGAAGGGCCCAGGCATTTCTGTGTTCCTTTCCACATTTGTTGACATTCCAAATTCCCTTTTTGAGAAATAACAACATGGGATGTTTCCATCTTCAGGTCAAATTCATTGTATCCTCACTTAACCTTATTGAAACCCCAACACAAACAAAAGAACCTCACCGCCCTTAAGTCATCCAGATGCCAGCACTATTGAGTTCAGACAAAGGATCTGTTCTGGGTTCTCGACAGTCGACATCTCATTTTATACTCAAGTGACAGAAAGCAAGAGAGTTCTCCAGGGCTCCCTTCATATGAGCATTAATCTGTGAGGCTCTATCTCGTTACCTCAATGGCCTATCCTTCAAGAACAAGCCTAGTGGATGATTTAAACATGACAATGGGAGCTGGGTGATGGTGGCGCACGCCTTTAATACCAGCACCAGGGAGGCAGAGGCAGGTGGATCTGATTTCAAGACCAACTTGTAAGGGTGTAGTTTGCCACACAGTCTATTACGGGCAGTTAGGGCTGACACTATAATACAGACTAATTCATCATATAAGCTTTAGTCCAGACATCGACTTGATCGTTCATTGTCTGCCAGTTTCAACTAATGATTTAAGGTCAAATGACAGCTAAATCTATCTTCAACGAACTTTAGTTACTCTTGACTTTTGTCTTGGTCATGCCCCATCAAAACAATGCAATTAGCTCTGTTCTTCGTACTTCTCAGTAAAGTCTCACCTGCAGAGAGCACAGGTTGCTCTGGTTTAGGGCTGATTGCTTGGACTTTATGGCCTTTAACTTGTTCGTGCCACAGAGGAGTTGATTTGTGTTTTTTTGGCGACTTTATCCGTCCCTCAGTGTTCCAGGGAGTTTTGCCACTATTTCATTTGCCCCTTTCATTTTACCTGGGACCCCAATCCTTTAGGGTTAGTACGCCTGGCTCTCCAGGAGGGGGAAAGGCGCCAAGCACAAGACCCGCGGCGCCTGTCACCGGTCCCTCCTGGTGTCACCAAGGTTTGTTGACATCCCAATTCACCGAAGATCGACATGTGAGGTCGCACAGCAGCCCTTTTTTCGAGAAGCTAGTGCGCAGCCGCACGTCGTAATGGGATAAAGGATGCGCCTATGGGTGAAGTACTGACTTAACACCGGGTGGGAAGACGGACCTCCTCTGAGGCGGCCCGAATCAGGCAGTGCGCAGGCGCGCGGGCTCAGTGAGAGGCGCAGGCGCACTGTGACGTCACGGCGGGCATCCGGGGGCCGAGGGGTGCGGGAGTCCGGCAGCTCGGGGCTGTGGGTACTGGAGATTGTGCAGCGGCTCCGACGCCATGTTCGGCTCCAGTCGCGGCGGCGTGCGTGGCGGGCAGGACCAGTTCAACTGGGAGGATGTGAAGACCGACAAGCAGAGGGAGAACTACCTGGGCAACTCGCTGATGGCGCCAGTGGGCCGCTGGCAGAAGGGCCGCGACCTCACCTGGTACGCGAAGGACCGTGCGCCGTGTGCCGGCCCGAGCCGTGAGGAAGAACTGGCGGCTGTGCGTGAGGCGGAGCGCGAGGCGCTGCTAGCCGCACTGTGAGTGCTTGGGCTGCGGGGCGACAGAGAGCTCCGGGGAGGGATCTGGGTGGCCCCGGGGCGGGGCTAGATGTGGGCAGGGCAGGGGCGGAAGGCCACAAGGGCGCAGGCCCCTTGACGTGCACCCTCGACCCTCGCAGCGGTTACAAGAACGTGAGGAAACAGCCCACCGGCCTGAGCAAGGAGGTGAGTGTGGGCTGCGGGTTCGGGGTCCGCAGGGCGGGCGGGGCTCCATTTGTACCGGCCTAGAACTCCACCCCCTCCGCCCTGTTTCCTCAGGACTTCGTGGAGATCTGCAAGCGGGAAGGAGGGGACCCTGAAGAGAAGGGCGTGGACCGGCTGCTGGGTCTGGGCAGTGCCAGGTGCGGCGGGTTGGGGAAAAGGGGACAAGACTGGGCGGTGGTCCAGAACTGTCCTCACCGCTCTGTCTTCTGCAGTGGCTCCGCAGGCCGTGTGGCACTATCCCGGGAAGACAAAGAGGCTGCCAAGCTCGGCCTGTCAGTGTTCACGGTAAACCTAGTAAATCCCAATGCTCAGGATCCTGGGCTTGGGGGTGTCTGGGGAGGTGTGGGGTGGGACTCCCTGGGTGCTGGGTGTCCCTCCCCACAGCTGCGTTTCTCATATAGCACCACCGCGTGGACAGCGAAGGCCCAAGCACCGCCCCATCTGCTGCCAGGAAGAAGCCTCGTGCTGAGGACAAGGCTGAACTGGAGTGAGTCTGAGTGCCGGTTCTACCTGTGTTATGCACTGATGAGTTTCTTGCTGGCATCCTATGTGAGCTGTGCCAAGCCTGGGTATGGGGACACTTCAGAAACAGTGTACTCACAGAAGAGAATGATGTCCAGACCCATAAGTGTCGTACTGGGAGGCTGAGCACTGGGTCTTTTTTTGAAGGAGCCAAGCACAGCCTTAGTTCTTTTGGCTTTACTGAAATTGTTGGGCCTCCACCTTCAGGCTGGATATGCCTGTCCAATCAGATGCCCGGAAACCTGAAGGTGGGATGGAGTTTCAGTAGCTACCATTGGTGACCCAACAGGCAGCTGCCACTTAGACAGGGCCCTGATGCCAGCCAGTTTGATGGAAGGTGGAGCAGTTAAGAGTGTGATGCTAGGAGCGGTGGTGCTTTTCTTTAATCCTAGCACTTGGTGGACGGAGAGGCAGGCTGACCTCTCAGAGTTCCCGCCAGCTGGCTTCCAGTCCTTGGGATTTAGCTGTGTGTGACTGGTTACTTCTACTTTTGTGACAACTCAACTTCGTACTTAAGTAAAATAGAGAGTTCCAGATCAGACAAGGCTTTATAGTGAGAAGCTGGCTCTCCCCGAGGGGGGGGGGGGGACACCTAGGTTGGCAACATTCCAAAGGGAAGCTTAGCCTTATGGATTGGATGAGGAGCCTAATATTAGGCTCACTTACCAATATAAACTCAGAACATGTAGACATTATCAGTGTACAGTGCTATGGTACAGACCCTGCGCTATCCTATCCTTGCCCTGCCCTCAGCTTTCAGCTGCTATACTCCAGTTCTTCACACTTAAGACCCTTTATGTTCTTTCTTACAGTACAGAGAGCCATAAGAAAAGCAAGAAAGAAAAAAAGAAAAAGAAAAAGAAACACAAGAAACACAAGAAGAAGAAAGACAAAGAACACAAAAGGGAGACTGACAGCTGCCCATCTTCTCCCTCTCCTGCTCGGTAGGCTAGGCCCAACTCTATTTGGGGGGGCACTAAGGAAGTGGGGAGAGAGCTGGCCAGGCCTGTTGGGATCCTTGGCAGAGTGAGAGACGCTTCAAGTGTCTGGTTGTCCTTGTCTTCCTAGGCCCAGACACCAGAGACATGATTCTGACATCTCCCCCTGCTCTAAGAGGAAGCGGGGACATAGCCAGGACAGTGGAAGGAGCCCATCTCGCAGACGACAAGACAGAGGCTCTGATGACTGAGAATTGGCTAGACCAAAGGACACCAGAGCCCTGGTTGCCCTGAGCTGGGACCCTGCCCATCACCAAGCTCTGTGGGGTCTAGAAAGAGTAGTCGTTGGATGCTAAGCGGCTACCAGCCCCCTTCCAACTTGCCCAAACTAACCAAGTCACATCCCTATCTGGGATAAGGCAGGTGGCTACTCCCTGGTAGGATTCTGAGCCAAGCTTGCTGGACCTTGGGATATCTATCTTGCCTTTTGGAGGCAGCTTGTGGCAACAACTCCAGGTTGCTGAGGAGTAGGTCCTGGGTGACCAGAGCCTAGTGATTCTGAGGGTAGTGCCCTTGCTTGCCCCCATGCCAAGGAAGATATAATTGCCCAGTAGACTAAGGTCAGACTCCTGTCTCTGCTGCCACAGTCCAGGCTCTTGAAGTTTAGGGGTGTGTCTTGTGTATACATCTGGTTACTTCTACTTTTTGTATCAACCCACTTTGTACATAAGTAAATGTATTTTAAAAGTAGAGTGTATCATCTCACTGAGGGCAGGCAGGTTAGGCTGGGAGCCTGTGGCCCCAGCATGGGGTATCCATCTAGTATGCCTGAGGACACTGGGTCTAGGAACCAGAATCCTGTGATTGAGGCTGCCTTAGGTGGTGGTGGCGCACGCCTTTAATCCCAGCACTTGGGAGGCAGAGGCAGGCGGATCTCTGAGTTCGAGACCAGCCTGGTCTACAAGAGCTAGTTCCAGGACAGGCTCCAAAACCACAGAGATAGATACCAAGACCATACAAATGGCCAAGAAGTTGGAAGAACAAACTTGTTGATATGAATGCATCTGCTGTCTGTCCAAGAGGTGCAATCTTGCTGGAAGAGTTCCTGCAGCAGGTTTGATTCCAGAGTGTCAGCACCTAGCTTTAATCTGCCTTTTGTCTCTGGTACCTTCATCTGAAATATGTAAATCTTGTCTGAGAGTTTATTCCTGCAAGAACTCCTCCAACACAGTTTGATTCCTACCTAAGCAGAGACAGTGTTCAGCAGACAAATAACAGCAATTTTAGAGCCTGTGTGAACATAAGGGCAGACAGTAGAAATCGGGCTGAATCTATATAGCAAGTTGTTCTCTTCTGACTGTAAAGCTATACTGGGTGTTGGTCTGACCTCAAAGTGTTCTGAGACTCAAGCTGTGGCTTGTATGTTGACCTGTATCCTACAGGTGGCCACCTAAACATGAGTGAAGATTAGTTATCTAAAACACCACTCAAAGGGGGCGAAGGTCTCTCCACTTAGGCAGAGGGCCCATTCATGATGGTAGACTTTGGATCTCCTAGTAGCCACACCCACCCAGAGATATGTACCACACCAAGACTGGCTGCCTACTAAAGGGACAGGAGGCACACCTCAGTTGTCACAAGCATGGAGGCTGGTAGTGACCCTGAGATGTGAGGGGAGCCAAGGCACCCAGGTCTCACTGACTTCTACCATGACTCAGAGAGTACCTGCTTTCTTTCGCACTAAAAGGGCTCTCTTAGGAGGCAGCCTGGCAGTGGTGACACTGACACACAAGCCCATCAAATAGTTAAGAGACTTTATTCTAATAGCTATAATTACAGTGCTTGTCGAAATGAAAACTGAAAACAAGTATACAAAACAGTTGATTACTAATTGTGTATTGAAAGCAGTAAGAGGTTCCACAACACCAAATAAACCAGTTCTGAGATTTCCCAAGATAAATTTAACAGCTCCAGCTTCTTCAGTGTTTATCAAAATACAAAAGAAAAAAGTAGAGGTCGTCTTTCGATGGCAAATCGGACCCTTGCAGGCTGAGGGAGAAAGCTACTTCACACATGGAGATGGGGGTGCTCCAGGATGTGGGTCTGGAATGGATTGACCCTCCCAGCTTGCACGCGCTCCTGCTGGTGAGACCCAGGCCTCCTGCCAGCGCGTCCAAGTGGGCCCAAGAGTAAGCTGGGTATGTAGACTGCCACCTGGCCCGGCCGCACACCAAATACAAGCCGGGCCCTGCACCCCACAATGGCTCCCAGCCCACCCCTAGGTGACCACGTGAGCACAAGTACAAGCACAATGCTATGGAATGCAGGTGACCCAAAGACAGGCGAGTCACGGGGGCTCTACTGTGACCATGCAGCGGATGGTGGTTTGTCCACCTCTCCTGTTTCCACGGGGGAACAGGTGATCCAGTGGACTAGCATTCAGGCCATTACTGCAAAACCTACACTAGGCATAGTCTCCGTTCTGTGTGTTCAAGTGTTCTTGTCCTGTATTTTTTTTTTTAACTATTTTAAAAAATGCACTGAGTTTGGGTAAAAACCAACCACCAAATGGATACTGACATCAGTCTACAGCCCAATGGCTCCCGAAGGCCAGGTGCCCCTACACCCAAATCCCTTCTCAGTACTGACAGTGAGTTGATTCTCTTTTTACAATAAAAAAGCTAAGTAATATTGCATAGGAGTACCAGAAACTGCCTCAGTGGAAACAGAAACTATTTACATTAAATAAAAACCTGGCTGCAGGCTGCGTCTGCACATGTACAGCACGGTGCGATGCACACTGTGACCAACCCATGGAGACAGCTTCTGGCACTCAGGACCACAGAGTCGCACGTTTGCCACATGAGAGGAAAGCGGAGGGCGGAGAAGAGGAAGTGAGGGGGAGGGAGGGGTCTGGTTCACTTCTGGTTCCGGAGCTGATTGGACAGCCAGTCTAGTCCTTCATAGAGCCCGTCCCCGCTGGTGGCACAGGTGGCCTGAATGTACCAGTTCCTGTGGCGTAGAGAGTGCAGCCCCAACTTGTCTGTGATTTCGGCCGCATTCATGGCATTGGGAAGATCCTGAGGGAAAGGAGGAATTAGTGGCAGGGACTCACAGCAGCCAGTCACCCAGGGCAGCCTCTCACCCACCCTCTCTCTTCCCTGACACAGGCTCTCCATCAGGGGAGGAACTTGCTGGTGCCTACCTGCTTATTGGCAAACACCAAGAGAACGGCATCCCGGAGCTCATCTTCAGCTAGCATCCTCATGAGCTCTTCACGGGCCTCATTCACACGCTCTCTGTCATTGCTGTCCACTACGAAGATCAAGCCTGCAACACAGCTACATTACTGCACATACCAAACACCCCCTCACCTGATCCACCCACAGGCCAGGGATCCAGTCCTCCCACTGGCCATGATACTTAGCGTGGCACTATGCCCTGAGACTGGCAAGGCCATGAGGCTCAGTGAACAAGAGCATCCCTTTGAGGAAAACAAGAGGAATCCAGGAAAAGAAATGGCCCCTCACCTTGGGTGTTCTGGAAGTAGTGGCGCCACAGTGGCCGGATCTTGTCCTGGCCGCCCACATCCCACACAGTGAAGCTGATATTCTTGTACTCAACTGTCTCCACGTTGAAACCTGAGGGCAAGGTTATAGCTGAGTGCCCTCTGTATTCCAGAACCCCAAACCCAACCCCCACTACCCTGGTCCTGGCCCAACTTCTCACCAATGGTAGGAATGGTGGTCACAATTTCACCCAGCTTCAGTTTGTATAGAATTGTTGTCTTCCCTGCAGCATCCAGGCCCACCATGAGAATGCGCATTTCTTTTTTGCCAAAAAGGCCCTTGAAGAGGTTTGCAAAGATATTCCCCATGCTTGTGGACAGGTGGAAGCAATACTGGCCAGAGACCTGAGGGAAGCAAGTTGTTACAGTCCTGTTAAGTGCTGCCAGTTTAGGCCCTGGGGCAAGACAGAGACACACCTACCCAGGAGTCCCCACCCCACACCTTCTCCCATCATCCCTCCTGAGAAATCTCATGGGGGAGGGGAGACAATTCAATCTCAGGTGGCAGAAAAAGAACTTTGTCCACCAAATAGATGTCCTAGGTCACCTACAGGCCATATACTAGCCTAGGAAGGCACAGATAGCAGAACCCCTTGTTTCCCAAGTCTGTTCACCTATCTGAACATCTAACTAGAGCTGTGCACACTCACACTTGGGAGCTGGCATGCTTGCTCTCCAAAAAGAGTGCTTTGAGAGACACACGAGGCCTCTTACAACCTAACAGAGTTCTTGACAAGATTGGAAAGAACCACCTTACATCTCTATCTTACTTCAAAGTGTTAAAAGTACTACAAATTACTAGAGAGCTGGTCACATTCTAGGCTCAATACTACAGGCTGTATATTTCATCACCCCTTAGTGACAGCAGGACAAGCCCAGAAAGACTGTGGTGTCATCCAGGTCATGGGAGACAGTCCCCCACGCCCCCCGAGACGGGGTTTCTCTATAGCTTTGGTGCCTGTCCCGGAACTAGCTCTTGTAGACCAGGCTGGCCTCGAACTCCCAGAGATCCACCTGCCTCTGCCTCCCGAGTACTGGGATTAAAGGCGTGCGCCACCACCGCCCGTGGGAGACAGTTGTTAAGGCAATGTTCTATCCATCTCAAACAGCCCAAGAAGGTAGAGACTGAAACAGTAAAATGATGGCAAAACATTCCTTTGAAGACCTATACAAAAGGATGCTCCTAGGAGGACAGGCAAATGTGAGAATGTGTTGCTGCAAGGGCATGTATACATTCAGTAGGGCCCACTGGCAAAAAATAAACACTAGGGGTGCCAATCAAGTAAGCTGTCACCAATTTACCAGAGCCTATCAGATGTTAAGGGCTTTTGCAAAGGATAGTAAGGCTTCCAGGGCTCTGGTCTCATCATCTGGTGGCCACTTTTATTCTTCACTTGTTTTTCATTCAAATGTATTTTACTGCTTTATTAAACGCTGAATGTTAGCTCCTAATAAATAGTAAAAGCAAATAGAAGGCCATGGAGCCTTCAGAAAGAGATATGTCTATGGACTATCCAAGGCTGCTAACCACAAGAAAATGAACAAGCATGGTGTAAGACAGGATGACAACACTTCTCTATATATTGTCCCTCTGTGCTACTATAACAGAACACCACAAGCTGGGTGACTTAGTAACAACTTATGAGCTGGACATCTTAAATCATGGCCTGGCAAGTTAAATGTTTGGCTCTAAGATATAGCCTTCAGCTGTATACGCCAGAGAGGAATGGCATGGGTCTTATACGGTAAAGTGAATGTGAACCTATTTTCCAAAGCCCATTTCATTACAGTCATCCATTCTTGGGGATGGAACTTTAAGAACCAAACACCTGCCCAACAGAAAGGTTCAAATTCCTATATACGAACTTCAGGGTATATTAAAAACGAAGGCTTCCGCCGGGTGGTAATGGTACACGCCTTTAATCCCAGCACTCGGGAAGCATAAGCAGGTGAATCTCTGTAAATTCGAGGCCAGCCTGGTTTACAAGAGCTAGTTCCAGGACAGGTTCCAAAACTACAGAGAAACCCTGTCTTGAAAAACCAAAAAGAAAAGAGAAAAAAAAAAGGCTCCCAGAAAGAATAATTAAAAAAAAATATATAAACAAACATAAGACACAAGAAGATGACTGTAATTCAAATACTTGGGAGGCAGAGGCAGGAGGACAGAAAGTACGAGGCTAGAACATCTAGTGAGATTGTCAAAGAAAAAAAAGAAGAAAAATCTGGGCATGTTGAGTCACGCCTGTAATCCCAGCACTAGGCTGAAAAGCTGGCAGATTCAAGTTTGATGCCCGCCTGAACTAGTGTGAGACCTTGCTTTACAAAAACTAAAAAAAATGAAATCGATGGCCAAGAAGAGAGAGGGTTTGGGGGGACAGGAAGACAAGATGGGAGAGGAGAGTGGAAGGAAGTGAGAAGAAAAGACAGATGGACAGGACAGATTGACAAAACTACATAGAGAAGATTCTTAGCTAGGCAGGAGGAACACATGCCCTAAGAGCTGAGGCCTGCTGCCAAAACACTCTGGCAACGCAGTATTGGTGGGAGGACAATTCTCAGGCAATACTCTTTAAAAATTCTGAGATTATGGCTCTTGACCTTTAACTGCTATCAATTACAGATAGGGAAGAATAACTAATTTCAACATGGCAAAGCGTCCCCTGAGAATTCAAACCAGGCAGAAGGAAATGAGCCCAAGATGAATTAAGAAGAGAGTCACTAGTTGCCATAGAGCAGGGAGCACATCACTTAGCTGTTTCTATGAGGAGGTCTGGTGATGTTGGGGAATTGGGAGAGCGAACAAGTACAGGCAAAAATCTAAGGAGGCAACACACAATTTACTTTAAGCAAAAAAGGCCTACAGAAGCAGATGGCTATCTATTTGTCCATGCAAATAATTCCACCTTCTAGCCAGATGTGGTGGTGGTGGTGGTGGTGGTGGTGGTGGTGCACGCCTCTAATTCCAGCTGAGATAGGCAGACCTCTGTAAGTTCAAGGCCAGCCTGGTACACAAAGTGAGTTCCAGGACGACTAGAACTGTAAGAAAGAGAAACCCCACCTCAAACAACAATCACAAAAAAATTCCACCTTCCTTCCAAATCACAAGTGATTATCAGTGGAGAAACAATGGTGCCCAGGGTGTGCATGGGAGGCTGGTGAGGCAGAGGGAGTATATAAGACAGTTCAGGTGCTATGTAGAAACCAATAGTATCTGCTGTATGTGATAGTGCTCACCTATGATCCCAGCACAGTAAGGTTGAGGCAGAGTTCAAGAATAATCAATCTTTGGTAATAAATAGTGAGATGGCTAGTCAAGGCTAAGCTGAACTACATGAGACCTTGTCTCAAAAGGAAACACCTCCCCCCAAAACAACAAAACCCACAAGAACACAGAGGGGAGGGGTACCCGTACTCTAATTAAGTCCCTACAGTAGCAGGCAGATACCCTAAATAACTGATTCCAGTGGCAGGGATCTCAGCCAAGTTTGATTGCACAGATGCATGACTGCCTCATTATCCATGACTACTGGCAATCCAGTGCTGCTTTCTTACACATGATCTGGCATGGTCCACAGCTGACTGAGTGTGCTCTGCCTAACCTGCCATTTCTACAGATGAGCCATGGAATCAACAGCAAACATTTTCCTTTTTTCTTTCTAACAAGAATCACCGAAGGGAAAAGCAGTCACACAATTCAATGATGAGATGAGCTCCTGATTTAAGACACTCAACAAACAAGCATGTAGACCACCCCCCCAGCCTTATCAGCACTTATGCATGCATCAGCATTCTTAGTGTCCTCGTGATGCCACATCTACAGCTTTTAGAACAAACCCCAAACCAAGAAAGACCCCACAGAGAGAAAAGCACAGTGGCTACATGGGCCAATCACCACAAGGGGCTCTGGGCACAGGCCCTCACTGCATGTGCACAGGCAAGATCCTGTCACTTTCCCTCCACAATCCCACAAACAAGCCAAACCTGCTTTTCAAGTTCCTCTGCATTACTCCATTAGCAGGCAGTGAAAACAGACTTCCCAGAGAGCTCTTGCTGGTTTATTCTGCCTCCCAAGTCACCAAAGCGACTGGCTTAGGAAGGCAGACCCACAACCATCAAGTTGGAATGGGATCAAGAAAGTTCATTCTTTAGGGAGGAGAGGACAGTGGCAACCACACTCCCCACACCGCTCTATCAGTAGCAGGGCCTTACCGGCCTCTTGAATGCAGGTGAGAAAACAGGAGTGAGTCAACACCTACTTCACAACGATGAATGAATGCAACCTAACTGGTCTGGCAGCCAGGAGGGTCCACCATCCTCACCAGACTTAGGGAGGCCCAAGCACAAGTCAGACAATCTTCTCTGAACCAGATTATGTAGGCTTTGCCGTTTCTATCTAACTGTTGACACTATTTCTCTGGGCTGCACAATGTTCTTTCCTGAAAAGGACTCATACTACCTGAATGAAAAGTTGGTGACATTTTAAAAGTCAGTTCCTTTTAGGGAGCTAGAGAGACGGCTCAGTGGGTAAAAGCATTTACCACTGTTGCAGGACACCAATTCCATTCCCAACACCCACATGACAGATTACAACTGTCCTTAACTCTAGTTCCAGATGTGGAACCCTCTTCTGGCCTCTGCAGGCACTGTGCGATACACGTAGGCAAAACATACATTTTTAAAAAAAAAAAAAAGGACAAGATCTCTCACTGACCCTGGAGCACACTAATTCAGCTGGAATGGCTTAGTCAAAAAGTTCTTGGGTAATAAGTATTTCCTGACTCAGTCAACTCCTTAGTTTCTCCCTGCTTTAAGACAAATTCACTGCAGAATAAATTACATATATTTAGCTAGGCATGGTGGCATATACCTTTCATCTTAGCACTTGGGAATCAGAGGCAAGAGGATCTCTGTAAGCTCAAGGCTAGCTAGCCTGGTTTACTTAGTGAGCTCCAAGGTAGTCAATGCTACACAGTGAGATTCTGTCTCAAAATTAATTAATTACATATGTTCAACCACACAGATCAATACTGTATACTCAGCTGTCATATGAGGAAAATTACCAAATCTGAAATTTTGAAAGAACCTGAACACACTATAGAACACTTTTTAGCTAAAGTTTTTAGTAATGAATACCAGTATTCCAACAATGACAAAATCAGATACATGAAAACCTGAACCATCTCCAAAACTGGATGCCTGCAACAAAAAGCAGGCTTCTTTAGTGTCATATGCAATATGGCCACATGTTAACATCTGTGTATAGTGCTTTCTGTACATCAACGGGGATTGAGTATTTCTGTTCCTAAAGCCTCAGGTCTTCCCGTTCCCCTCAGTAAAACATTTTA